GTACCCCCCGCCCTGCCACAACAACCAGTCTTGGCTCCCCTTTGAAGTTCCTTTGAACTTGCAATGCTGAAGCACAGCCTGAGTCCAGGCACAAAGTCTATCTTCAAAGCTGCACACAGCCTTTCGGGGGGATGAATAAACAGAGTGGGAATCCAATCCACTTCTGCTTATCTAGATAACGGTCACCAAAAACACACACAGGACAGAGATAGGCAGTGCACCCTAAGGAAAAAAAGCTTGCAGGCAGCTAGTCGTAAATAGGTAGAAAATTTCTCTGCTACAAATCTTTATCAGATAACACCACATTATATTAAATATTAAATACTAAAATTAGAGGAATTTCTGTATTTTCTGTCCTACAGTCTACAAGTCTTTAGATAACTGGATAACTTGAATAATTTGTTCTCAAAGGCAATTAGCAGCTGACTTAAAAATTGCTCTTGGTGGGGTTCTTTTGTGCTAATGACACCAAAATAGTTATTAATCCAGAAGGGAAAAACGAGCACAACCTTTCAGTAACCCCCATAATGCCAACTCCCACCACCAGTAAGTCAGCAAATTGGCTTATAATCATGAAGTTGATTTTAAAAAATCGTGTTGAAGGCTTTTTAAAAAATGTGCTATGTGTTATCTCTAAAGGTTACATACTCTTAATTTTGTTCTTGTCCCTGTGAAGACGGGAAAGGTATTTTAAGAGATTTTGAACAAAGACAGTAATGGTTTCAAAACTGGGACTTTCAGAAAAAACACAAAGTATTGGAACACTGACAGCACTGCAAGTTCTCTGAACTTGTGTATTTGTTCCAAATTTAAAGGTAATCAAAATGTTAGGGAAAATTATACCATCTCACAAGTGCAAGTGTCAGACAGTTTCCAGTAACTATTACTACACCAAAATCTGCTCGCTAACAAGCCGGGGAAGAACTCAACACCCTTTTTTGATAAGGCATGGTACTGATGACTGGCACAGCTACTGCCACTGCAGCAACGGGTGATGAGGACAGTGCAAAGGCCATTTTATCTGACTACCATGAAGTGGAAAGTAATTCATCAACCTATCCCTGCCAAGTGGTATTGCTACACTAGCAAAACTACAGAAGATACTATAATAAAGACTAAAAGAAGATGACATCTGCCATTGCAATGGATGGAGCTTGAATAATGAATGGTTGGTTCCTACTTCATTACAGTCTGGAAAATTGACCATGGAGAAGACTAAATTGGGGGCTGGCATGGATCGTATTGGATTTAGTTTGTAATTAAGGATCTTCTTGCTGGGCCAGTTTAAATCAAGGCTGTTCTTGTCGTTAGCCCAACCCCATCACAGTAGTTGCAGTGAGGTCAAAGGCCATTCAGCTTTTGGGGGTTTGTTGATATGACAGCTACTTCTAATGGCATCTCTAAATTAAAAACAAACACATATTTGGAAAGCGGGAAGCACACCTCATACATGCCATTCACCGGCGCTGCAGACTGGCACTGGGACAGCTTCAGCCATGCCCGGGCTTTGTCCCATACTATATTCTGGTCCTCAAAATGGAAGCCCAGCTAGGTGAAGGGACACAAGTCCCGCAGACGGCAGGCTCAGGTACCTCCTGCCCAAGGTGTAGGCTTTGGTGCTGACATCTTCTCTACACAAACATGGGGAGAGCCAAGCATCTAAGAGTAAGGTCCAACCAGCACTCTGGCCAGGTAAATAAATACCTCATCCATGTAACAAGGAGTGTCAAAGGATATCTCAAACCCTTCTTCACCTGGACTGAGGCATCTCCCAGTGAAGAGATGGCAGGTACCAATGTCCTGGTGAAGGCCTCTACCACCCCCAGGTCCCTCAGCCAGCCGGGCAGGACCTGGTTGACTGTTCCCTCGGACCTCGGCAGAGACATTAACCTTAAACTGCTCAAGGTGCTGTGGAAGCTGAACCACCAGGTCGCGATGGCCTCTGTGTGTGAGTCACTGAGCGACCCAGCCACAGACGGCATAGCCCATCTGTAAATAACGCTGCCCGCACCCCTGCCTTTCTGACCTCTCTCACCTCCCATCAGCAGAGGAGAAAACCCCTACCTTGCCTCTTATGGAGTCAGAGAAAACAGATGAGGTATATTTTTTTCACAGTGTGAATTTTCAGACAGTGTAATCACCAACTCGTGTATCTTTTTATTAATTGCTAAAGTACCTGTCTCTGAAAGCACTCAGCGGAGTTCTGCCTTTAGCAAGGCATTAGGGGGGCTGTTCCAGAGGCTTGGAGAGCAATTACACCAGTAAATGCGTATTAACTGCCCAGACTATTATGTTGGGCACAATTTATGATCCTATTTGTAAGTGGTTTATGCTTTAGGAACAGACCGCAGATCAGCAGCAATGAAGAGAGATAACTCCAATGCTGTGTCACACAAATGTGACCTTGACAGAAACAACAGAGTCTGCCTAAATGCGGACATGGGCCCGAAGCCAGAAAGACACTTCAGTGCTTAAGTGAGGCTCGGTAGAAGTAAGGCACTTAAGTCAACACTGGTGCATCCTAAATCCCCTTCCTCAGCTGCTGCCTAGCCCTGAAAACAACTCAAACTCAGGTGTTTCCACCCCAATGCCTCAGCCATCGCGGCTTGCACGCTGCTTCAGGGCACCGCAGTCATGGC